CCCCAACCCCTGCCGCCGCCTCGTCCACCGCCACCCCAACTGCCGCCTCCACTCCTGCCACCTCCCCCGCCGCTGCCGCCACCACCCCCACCGCTACCACTCGCCCCTCCAGCCGAGCCACCACCCCCACTGCCTCCACCGCCCCCACCGCCGCCTCCCCCGCCGTCACCGCCACCACCCTTGCCCCCTTTGCCCTTGCCGCTGCGGCGTCCGCTCGAGGCAGACGCAGCGCCGACCTTCTCAGTACCAAGAAGGTCGACAGCAGCAGCAGAGGCGACAGAGGGAAGAAGGGGGGAAGGAGAACACCCCTCAAAGAACGGGGTACGGGGGTCGCCACGAGAGGCACCTACAGCGACTATGCTAGCCTCAGCTGCAAGTAGCTCCTTCTCGAGGAGGGCAATGGTGAGCTCAGTGGGGCAACGAGCTAGGAAGTGGTCCCTAACAGCACGCAGTGTGTCAGGGAGGCGGGTGACTAGGTGATAGAGAGTGAGCCAGAGTGGAGGGGGGTGCGTGGCAAGGAACTCAGCAGGCATGGCGGCACGGAAGCGGGCCTCACTAGTACGGAGGTGCGTGATGAGGTCAGCGACTGTGTGAAAGGAGGCCAGGTCGGGAAACAGGTAGGGGAGGGAGAGACGGCCTAGTGCGGCAGAGGCAGGTGAGGAGTAGCGAGCAACTACAGCTGTGTACAGTGCCTGTGCAGTCTTGTGCTGACCAAAGTGCTCGCGTTCGTCTATCGGCAGGGAGTTGCGAATGGCGAAGCGAGCGTGGGCATCACGAGTCTGCCACTGTGAGCGAGCAGTGCTGTCAGCAGTAGCAGCAGGGGCAGTGACATGGCCTAGGGCGTGATCGTACAGTGAGATGTCATCCTTGGCTGTGAGCTGTAGGTAGAGGTGCAGGTCATCGAGCCAGGTGTCAAACTTCACAGGGCGGCCCTCAGCATCGAACACGAGAACCTGTGGGCTAGCCATAGGAACAGTAGAAATAGCAGCAGTAGCAGTAGGAGAAGCAGGTAGGACGAACCAGGTAGGGCAGGGCGGCGCGGCTCGGTTCAGGTCGGGTCGCGGCTCGGCTGGGTGGCGCGGCTCGGCTCGGGGCGCGCGGCTCGGCTCGGGTCACGGCGGGGACGGGCCGCCCGCTCTCCCTCGTGTGCTGCGGCGGGAACGGGCCGCCCGGGGCCTCTGGGTGGTGGGCACGGGTCGGCGAGGTCGGCACGGGGCCGGTTGGGGCCCTAGAGGGGCGAGCGCGGGGCCGATCGGGGCCTGAGCGGGGGTAGCGCGGGGCCAAACGGGGCCTTGACGGGGCTAGCAAGGGGCCGACGGGGCCTGAACGGGGCTAGCGCGGGGCCGACGGGGCCTGAAACGGGGTCGAAGGGGCCTGAAACGGGGCTAGCGCGGGCCCGATCGGGGCCTGAATGGGGCTAGCGCGGGGCCGACGGGGCCTGAGAGGGGCTAGCGCGGGGCCTACGGGGCCTGAAACGGGGCTAGCGCGGGCCGACGGGGCCTGAAACGGGGCTAGCGCGTGCCGACGGGGCCTGAGAGGGGCTAGCGCGGGGCCGACGGGGCCTGAAACGGGGCCGACGGGGCCTGAAACGGGGCTAGCGCGGGCCGACGGGGCCTGAGAGGGGCTAGCGCGGGGCCGACGGGGCCTGAAAAGGGGCCGACGGGGCCTGAAACGGGGCTAGCGCGGGCCGACGGGGCCTGAGAGGGGCTAGCGCGGGGCCGACGGGGCCTGAAACGGGGCCGACGGGGCCTAAACGGGGCTAGCGCGGGGCCTGAACGGGGCCTTAAAGGGGCCGACGGGGCCTGAACGGGGCTAGCGCGGGGCCGTCAAGAGGGGCCTCTAGGGGCGTGACACGCCGAGGCGCCCTAGGGCACGGGTAGGTAGGTAGGTAGGTAGTTACGTAGTGGTGGGCCCTTAGAAAATTTCGGTCCTAGGAAGGACCTGCTCTATACCATGTTGGAATCACTGAACAGGAATGAATGAACTAGCAATGAAAATAGTACAAGTACCTAACCCTAGAATTGTGTACCCCCTATAGGCTAACCCACTGTAGCCTAAACTAACACAACATATATAATGTTTGACACCTAGGGGTGCAGCAGGGGGTGTGTCATAGGGGGGTGGGACAGTTTGGGGAGGTTGATGGGGGGTGGCCGCCGTGAAGCCAGCAGCTCCAGTCGCCCGTGAGCCCGTTGCGCCAGTCGCCCGTGAGCCCGTTGCTCCAGTTGCCCGTGAGCCCGTTGCTCCAGTTGCCCGTGGGTCCGTTGCTCCTGCCGCTCAGAGTTAGCCGCGGAGCCAGTTACTCCAGTTGCCCGTGTGCCAGTTGCTCCAGTTGCCAGTGTGCCAGTTGCTCCAGTTGCCCGTGTGCCAGTTGCTCCAGTTGTGCCGTGTGCCAGCAGCTTCAACTGCTGCCCACTACCTCCTCTCCTCTCATCGTCCCTCCTTCTACTCACTTGCCCTCTGTTATATCCTCTAGCTTTGCTTATATTTGTGAACTATAAACTGCTACTTCTTGTACTTGTGCTCAGAATGTGTGGTGACATTGTGATCCACCCTGAGCTTGTTTGCTTTGCTTGTTGTGCTGATTACACCCCACTTTGGCTATGGGGGTGTGTCAGTATGTTATGTTTTGTCTAGCCTGCAGTGGGGTACTCAATAGTGAGTACAGCCCAATTTAGGGTTTGCTATATGTACTCAACTGCTTGCTAGTGAAACCTCTCTCTTTCTCATTTCTAACTTCCTGCTGTTTCTTAACAATACCGGAGGGCGATGTGCTTCGCTCGATTCGCGAACCCGTTCTTGTTCGCTATGCGAATGGCCGATTGGTTGTCGCAGAACAGGGAGAAGCTGGGTAACTTAGCCAGCTTTGCCTCTTCTAGTAGTTCGCGAAGGTATAATCCTTCCTTGGTGGCTGAGCAGAGTGCGATATATTCTGCTTCAGCTGAGAAGAGAGCAATTAGCTCTTGCTTGCTCGACTGCCATGAGATAGGGCCTATAGGTTCGAGTCGGTAGATGTAGCCAGTGCGCGATCGCCTGTTGTCTGAGTCGCCGGCGTGGTCAGCATCGACGTAACCGATTAATTTAGGTGTCGTAGTTCCGGTCTTGTGGTATGTTAGGCCGATCGTCGAGGTGCTGACGAGGTAGTGGAGTGCACGGTCGAGCTCCACCATGTGATCCGCTTCGGGCTTCTTGAGATAGGTGGCGAGCTGGCTCACTGAGTATGATAGATCTGGTCGACAGGTGACGGCTGCGAAGAGTAGACAGCCTAGATTTCGTTGGTAGTCGCGAATGCCGGCGGGTTTGAGTAGGGCGGAGGTTTCCTTGCGGTTACCGTCGGTGTAACGATATGGCGTGGTGATAACTACCGTAAGCCCCCGGATAGAAGCGCAGGCCTCGAATAAGCGCCGGCGCTTATAAAAGGATGGCGGCGCTTATATCCGGTCCTCGATTATAAGCCCACCCCCTAAAAAAAGATATTTTATTATAAGCGCATGTTGTTTTTTCATTTGAAAACCTGACGAAATACAGAAACAAATTTCACATTATCAGGGAAACGAACTATAAACTCGATTTCCCACACTCTGATCTCACCTTTTGCGCGTCTAGTCAGCATGTGCTGTCATTCTGTCAGTTTGAGTTGGCAGGGAATCACTCCTTGCCAAGCTGCACGAGAATCGGATTCGCGACCCCATATGTTTTCGACTCGATTACAATCGGCAGAACGAGATCTACAGTTTGGTGTAAAACAGATAGAATTCTTTTTGTCAGAAGACTTGCACTGTGAGATCCCCGATTGATCCTTGGAGGGTTACAGGCCTGTTAGCCTGGGGGGTTATGGGCGCACTGACCCGCTACTGAAATAAGCCCTTTTATCCCAATGGTCTAGTGGTTGGGATTCTAACATGGTATCAGAGCGGTATCGGGTTCGAATCCCGGTGTATGCACATGCTGGCCGTTGCCGCTGTGTCGAGTCCTGGACCTCCCAGTGTGGGGGGGTGTCAGAAGACTTGCACTGTGAGATCCTCTATTGATCATTGGAGGGTTACAGGCCTGTTAGCCTGGGGGGTTATGGGCGCACTGACCCGCTACTGAAACAAACCCTTTTATCCCAATGGTCTAGTGGTTGGGATTATGACACTTTTTGCCATTTTATAAACGCCGGCGCTTATAAATTTCCTCAATTATAAGCACACCCTCTAAAAAACAGTGTTTTTTTTATACCCCCAAGGGCGCTTCTATCAGGGGGCTTACGGTATTTGTTTCCAACAACGATATGGAGAAGATGGCAGATTGAGGAGGACGGGGAACAATGGAAGACGAGTGTTGTTAATGAGTAATGTGATAGATGGCTCATTTGATTGGTCCGTGTTAAAGGTAGACTCATTTCTGAAAATGTGTTTCTCTTTCTGGCAGTTCAGTTCTTGGTTTCCTTAAAGCTGCGGTATACATTTGAAAGGAAGAGTTCAAAAACTTTTGAAATTTGAAAAGTTGCCCCAAACCTGTGAGGCTCACTCCCTAAACCCTGAACCCTGCTGACAAATGTATACTTCAGCTTTAACCAATCTACCATAACCCTTAACCCTATATCTGGTTTGGTGGCAAATTCTTACAGACTTTTTACTGCGATATCAATACACTAGAATCTAGTACCCGAACAAATAACCTTTTCGCTAATTCGGCAGCGTTGAGCCACCCCTCAATCACGAACGGTAACCTGCACGCTTGAGGCGAAATTTTCGCCCCAGGCAGATCCGTGAACTGTCCTTCCCTCTTCCCCTCTCCCGCTGCCCCCCATACTGCTGTGTGCTGCTGCCTCATCAAAACTAGGGTTTCCCTTCCCTGCCTCAGTCTTTCACAACAGTCTTCCTCATTTTCGATAGGACCTAGCTTATTTCTTGTTTCCTGTTTCCTGTTTCCTGTCTCCACTGTGACTAGGGGGTAGTTGTTGCGGGTTCTTGGTTAGGAGCTGCGTAAGGCCGTAGTGGTGTGACCGTGAGCTCATGCGGAGCTGTGATAATCTGGTCGACTTGGATTTCGTGAAACCGGCAGCGCTGAAGTCCCCAGCAGGAAATGCCCCTTGCCGAAAGAAGGGGGAAATGGGAAGCAATGACGAGTCAGAGCGAAAGAAGCGGCCATCAGCAGCGGGAAGCATCATGTCGCCTCCAGCTAAAAGACCATCGCTGTCGTGTCTCGGTGACGAGAAGAAGGTGTGGCTTCACGAGGTTTTCAAGTTTCATTTATTTCCCGAACTTCACCTACATTCAATTACTAGTCGGGTTCAGTCTTCTTAGTCACTCTTTCCGTCTCGTATGGCCAGATCGACCCGTCAGTGCTTCAGTTTCAGAACCAGAAGCTGAGTCAGCAGCTGGAGGTCCAGAAGGAGCGAATCCATGAATTGGAGTCGCGGTTCGAGGATCTCAAGGCACGGCAGTCAGACTACGACGATACACTCATGACAGTCAACAGCGCGTGGAACCAGGTTCGGCTTTGCAAGTCCACGTCTTGAGTGGGAGCGTTTGGGTTGCATACATTAGATCTTGAGGTAGCAAGGTGGATTTCTGACGTGTTTCTGTTCCCTTTTGCAACAGCTAGTTGACGATCTGGAGATTCTGGCAGTTAAGGCGAATGCTGGGCTTAACGGTCTTCAGCAGATGTCTAATGCCACTCCCCTTGAAGGTAACTCGCCGAATATCTTGAGTTTTGTGTGATCTACCTTCAGATCTATGCTTCCTAATTTTTACCCTAATTCTGGTTGCCGGTTTTTTTCCTGTTTTGTCAGATAGAGGGGATTCAGATGGTCCTTCAGAAAGCATTTTTCTTCGGAAGCTGTTACAAGCTTGCCCGAAGGTCGATGATGAAGGGAATGCGAGGAAAAAGCTTCATTCCGCGTTACAAGCTCGGAGCTCGCAAACGTATAAGGTCCTCAAGTGCATAGTGCAAGCCGTCGATCAACAAAGACTACGAAACGAGGAATTGGCAGTTTCCTTGAAAAAAAGTCTAAGTTCAGACGGTATGTAATTCTCTTAATTATTCAGCTATATATCCTACCCTCCTCTGTTCAAGATGCGGGCTTTGACAGTTTTTTTCCGACATGTTTCCATTTTCTATCCCCCGTTATGCTCGAGGCAGAAGCTGCAGAGCTCTTAAGATCGACGCATGAGGAGTTCAGATCCGAAGTGTCGCACATGAGAGCCAAGATGGACGAGATGCATCTGCAGCACAGAAGCCTGTCTTTGGAGCTCTCGGAAATCCGGGACTTGAACGCCAAGAGCCAAGCAGAAGTTCGGAGAGTTTCAGGTGAGAGATCTTTACTAGGTAAGTTTCGTCAAGGTTAGGATCAACAACTAGGTAACCTTGGTCAAGGTTGGACTGCTTACTAAATAAGCCTTGTCAAGGGTTGCTGCATTGGCGTCAGACGCGCGAGTTCTGCCATTTCCTAGCGCATTCCGTCATCCTACGTTGCGCATTCCGTCATCCTACGTTACGCATTCCGTTATCCTACGTAACGCATTCCGTCATCTTCCCTAGCGCATTTTGTCATCTCCATGGAACGCGCATCTGGCATGTCCGTCACAGATCATCTCGAGGATACCCTCATGCAGCTGGAATCGACGAGGCGAAAACTCGTCGCGGCGAAGCAGTCCGCTTCGTCGTCTGGGCCCGGCGCGTTTCCCGCGTCTCCGTCGCTTGTGAAGTCGGATTCGAGAGACGGGGGGCAGGAGAGCAGGATCGCGTCTGGGGAGGCCCGTGAGCTGGAAGCCGCACTTGAGGAAGCGAAGGTGAGAAATGCGTCGTCTTTTCTGATTTGTATGCTTGCATTATCGTTCACACGAGACGAGAGCTTTTGTGACGGAGTTTCGTTTGTGAATATGCGATTCTGCATATTTTTCTGCTTTGCAGAAGCTTTCCGCTCAACGCTTGACTGAGATTGAGGACAAGCAGCAGACGATACTGGAACTGAATCAGAAGCTACGAGAGTACCAGGTTTGTGTTCCCTTAGACTAATATCACGGGAATGCCAAGATTAGGGTTTGTCGATATGGTCACATTCAGCCCCCAAAGCATGTCTCATTCCAGCCTTTTAACTGTCTTTCGGCCTCCCTTTCGTAACCTCATCAACTTCTCCTCTTGCGTTGTCCCTTCTATCCTCCTTCACACTCCACCTAAGCGTATCGGTTCTCCTTCTCCTTAAAGATAAGCCTCATCTTCCCTGCATCTGCACAGTCAGTGTTTTGAGACGTCCGAAATCTCTTATCCTTTTCCTGGCAATGAGGCATAATGAAGCACATATCCTTCCCGCACCCATGCAGTCAGCGTCGGAGGACGAGCAGCGCATCAAGTCATCACGGCCCTACTCGATTCTGGCGGAGCAGCTCATCGCAGCCAGAGCGGAAGCTGAGAGGAACCGGTTGATTCTCGAGCAGCTGCAAGTGAGTTTCCCATCCCCCTCTCCTTCCGCCATTTTCAGTTTCCACCATCCCACTGCCTCCCGTTCCACCAAACTGCATGCCGCGCTTTCAGTCCCACGAGACGCGCATGTCTTCTTGAATCTTGACAAGTCACCAGTTCCCCCACCCCCGCTAGCGCTGGTCTCAGCTCATGTACCTAGTCCTGACACGACGTATCCCCTCTCTTCATGTTCCGTGGGTCCATGGCGGTGGCGGCACAGAGGGAGAGGGACGCGAGCAGTCTGCGCGAGAAGGACATGGCGTTCCGCGCGGAGGCGGGCGACGCTGCGCGGAGGGCGTGCCAGCTGGCGGAGGCGAGGGTGGAGGAACTAGAGAAGAAGCTGGAGCACGCGTGCAGGGAGCGCGACGTGCTGCAGCAGCGCCTCGAGGAGGCGCACTCGTCGCTGGGTAGGCTGTGTGGCTTGTGAGCGATATTTGAGAGTTTTGGAAGATGGCCCAGCAGGTGTGCTGGGACGTGGATGTGCTGCAGCAGCAGCGTCTGGAGGAGTACTCATCGCTGGGTAGCCTTTGTGGAATTCATGTGTTGCGGGGTAGTGGTGTGACGCTGGCCATTGCGGTGGTGTTTTGTGGGCCCAGCTCGATTTCGTGGGGCTCGCTTGGCGATTCAGTAGGTCGATTATCGTGTTGTTTCGAATTCAAGTGGCCTTGACCTGCTTGAAGCTGACTGGCGTGCTGGGTGTGTGCATGGGTGTGTGGGTGTGTGTGTGTGTGTGTGCGTGGCTTGTTGAGGGTGGCAGGGAGGAAGGAGACAGTGGCGGAGCTCAAGGTGATGATAGCGACGCTGCACAAGGAGATGAGCATGATGCAGGCGCAGCTCACCAAGCATAAAGACGCCATACAGCAGCTCATCACACTGCGCGCCGACAACGAGTCCCTCAAGTCCGTTCTCACTAGAAAGGTGAGCTTCCGTACCAGCCCTGGAAGGGCGGTCTGTCCGCTTCTAGTTTCTCGTTTTGCAGCCGCGGCTGGTCCTCTAATGATCCCCATTTGGGCGTACTCTTTGTGGTCGTTCGTTCTTTCAGGCGAAAGAGATAGAGCAACTAGGAAAACGAATCTTGTCGCAAGCGTCAGATCAGAAGGCGTTGAAGGCAGAGGTATGTCATGGTTACTATCTCTGTGCTGTGCGTGATTCTGTCTCTGCATGCTCCTGAATTGCTATGATGAGTGGGGTGCGACAATTGTCTGTGATTTGCTGCTCTGGAAGGAAGTTGCCCGTTTGAGTTGTTCCTTCCCACTCAACGCATGCTCATTCGCGAGATGCCCGCGGCTTGATTCCAAACTGCTGCGGCTGTGCTCCTTTTCTTCCAACCCACCTAGCTCTCCTTTCAGCTCACTTCCGACCTCTTTGCACCTCATATTCTCAGCTGATTTGCTGCCATGTGCGGGGTTGCATTGGTATGACATCTTGCGCGTGTGTGATGTGGCGGCGTGTGCGGCTGCTGCAGGTGGCGCAATTGAAGAGCTCCGAGTGCGAGCTGCAGATGTTCATGGACATGTTCGAGCGCGAGTCCACTGATACCAGGCAAGTTCATCTCGATTTGTCAACCTCCCTGTCCACCCCTGACTTCTGAGGCGCCTCAAAAGTCGCAGTTGAGTAGCTCGGAGTGCGAGCTGCAGGTGTTGATGGATGGACGTGTTTGAACACGATTTCACTGGTATCGACCATGCCACTCGCCCCCCTCTCCCCACAGGGACATGAAGCAGGTGAAGGCGGCGGAGGTGCGCGCAGGTGGCACAGCTGCAATGGGACACACAGCCTTAATGCTTCTATACCTCCTCCCCATCCTCGCTCAACCCCCCATCCTTCCCCCACCTCTCCCCCCCTTCCTCACAGGGACATGAAGGAGGTGAAAGCGGCGGAGGTGCGCGCGCTGGCGCAGGTGGCGCAGCTGCGCGCGGAGCTGGACGAGCACGGGCTGGCGCTGCGGGTGAAGGCAGCCAACGAGGCGGAGGCGGCGTGCCAGCAGCGCCTGGTAGCAGCAGAGGCGGAGATCAGCCAACTGCGGCAACAGCTGGACGAAACTGAAAAGTGAGTGGGACCCGTGTGTTGTATTGTGGTGTGAATGTCAGTCCAGCAGCCAGACTCTAGCTTGAACTGGCGTTTGGCGTGTGAGTCTACTCAAGTTATGAGCATGGGGTGATGGGCTGACGGGCTGGCGCTGAGGGTGAAGGCGGCCAACGAGGCGGAGGCGGCGTGCCTGCAGCGGCTGGTGGCAGCAGAGGCGGAGATCAGCCAATTGCGGCAGCAGCTGGACGTAACTGAAAAGTAGGTGCCCTATGTCCTGCCCTTGCCTCATAGGTGCCATTATCAGTCAAACTAACAGCCGGACAGTAGCCGGAATGCATCTGGTTTGGCTTCCTTGAAGCTGCTGCAGCTGGTAACTCAGCAGTGGCTGGTGGCAGCAGGGGGCGGAGACCAGTCAGCTGAGGCAGCAAGCAAGAGGGCGAGGGAGAGTGGGTGTGGGTGTGGGTGTGCTGTGGCCCAAGGTGATGCCTTTCGTCCAGCTATAGTTGCAACTGTTGATGTTGAGTCTTCAACTGTGCAGAGAGTGTTGCACTTCTTGTCGCTGTGATCTCAATCGTGGTCTCACTCACCTCCGTCCATCCCTCTGCTCCATGTTACCTATCTCCGCCAATCCCTCTCTGCCACGTCTCACGTGTGGTGCAGGAGAATAGTGGAGCTCCAAGAGACGGTGAAAGCCAAGGAGGAGGAGGGAGAGGCGTATATAACCGAGATAGAGGTCCGTACTTTTCTTCATTCTCTCCTACAAACAAATACACTGAGCGAGCACACTCTTGCAAGGTGAAGGCACTGTATTTTGAGACGTCTCACACTCTTACAACAAAATACAACTTTTATCACACTCTTGCAAGGTGAAGGCACTGGCAACAGACAGGCTAGCTCGCTCCTAGAGGATCCCCGTGTTGCAAGCACCTGTACCTACCACTCGACTGTGCCTCAATTGGTTGGCAGAGTGGTATCACGTGCATCTCATAAGCGCGCACTCCTTCCCCCAAACCCTCAGCCGCGCCACACTACCAGCACATGCGGATTTTGGGCCCCTCAAAAGGTGTCGTTCAGGCTTTCCATTATCCCGCCCCTCCTTTCCCTTTTTTTCCCCCACCTCCTCTCTCTCCATGCCTCTTGCTGCGGTCCCACAGACAATAGGGGCAGCCTACGAGGAGATGCAATCGCAGAACCGGCGGCTGCTGCAGCAGATATCGGAGAGGGACGAGTACAACACGCAGCTCATCGCGGAGGGCGTCAAGGCCAGGCAGCTGCAGGCGTCGCTGCAGGCGGAGAAGCAGAGCATGGAGACGCGCATGCAGCACGCCACTGCTGCTGCTGACGTGCACAAGCAGCGGGTGGTGCGGCTGGAAGAGCAGGTGTGTAGGGGGGTGTGGATGGAGGCATTTGGAGGAATTTGGCGTGATGCAGTTGGATTTTGAAGGGGTATGCAGGTGTGGGGGGATGTGGTTGCGCAGGTATACTTGTAGAGCAGGCAGGTGCAGGCGTCGCTGCAGGCGGAGAAGCAGAGCATGGAGACGCGCATGCAGCACGCCACTGCTGCTGCTGACGTGCACAAGCAGCGGGTGGTTCGGCTGGAGGAGCAGGTGTGGAAGGGTGTGCCAATGTGCAGGGGAATGTGGAGGGGTGCGCAGGTGTGTAGATGTGAAGGAATTCGCAGGTGTGCAGGGGTGTGGAAGAGTGTGCAGGTAGGCCAGGCAACAGCTGCAGGTGAACAAGCTCGGCATGGTTACACTTATGCAGCACACTACCACCTCTGCTGATGTGCACGCGCAGCAGATGGCAACGGGAGCAGGTGTGGGGAGGTATGGGGAGCAGGTATGGGGAGCAGGTATGGGGAGCAGGTATGGGGAGCAGGTATGGGGAGCAGGTATGGGGAGCAGGTATGGGGAGCAGGTATGGGGACAGGTATGGGGAGCAGGTATGGGGAGGTATGGGGTCCAGGCATCGGCGTGTAGAGAACCTGTCTCGTCCAGCACACATGGGAGCAGGTTGGATGTCAAGGACGCGAGGGTCATGACGGGAATTTTTTAGGCGCCTCAGAAGTCGCCAGGGGCATGGCGGGAATTCTTGAAGCGCCTCAAAAGATGCCAGGGGCGTGGCGGGGATGTGGAGAAGTGAGAAGGATGGAGGCGCAGAGGCAGATGCAGCAGACAGCCCGCGTATCCTTTTCCACCCTCTTTCCGTTCCACCCGCTGCTTCTCCATCTGCCATACATTCCCTACCTTCCCCCCTCCTTCTCTCCCTTCTCCTGTCCTCCCTTTCTCTTCACGCGTGCAGGTGAAATTGGCATACGGCACATCCTCTTCCACCCTTCTCCCACCCCCTTCCTCTCCCTCTGTTCACACACTCGGGAACAGGTGAAGGCGGCGTGGGAGCAGCTGGGGAAGGCGGTGGAGGACGCGAGGGGCATGGCGGGCAGTGTGGAGGCGGGCAAGCGGAAGCAGGCGGAGATGGAGAGGGAGACGGCACCCACTCTAACCCTCTTCCATCTGCCGTTCCATCTGCCCTTCCCGCCCAATCAACCACCCTCCTTCCCCTCCCCTTCCCCCTCGCCCCTCTCCATTTCGTCCCCCCTTTCCCACACCCCCCCCACCCCCACCCTCCCCCCAATACACCTGCAGGTGAAGGCGGCGTGGGAGCAGCTGGGGAAGGCGGTGGAGGACGCGAGGGGCATGGCGGGCAGTGTGGAGGCGGGCAAGCGGAAGCAGGCGGAGATGGAGCGGGAAACAACGGCTGCTAGAGAGGCCATGGAGGGGCTTCAGAAAGATCTGAGTTCGCGGAACACACAGATGGTGGAGGTGGAGGAGAAACTGGAGACTGAAAGGTGAGTTGGCGTGAAATGTTTGGGGACCAGGGGGGATGCATGTCTGTGAGAGAAGGATGAAGTGTCTTAGGGGGAAGCGGGGGGAGGGTGTGGTGGGCTTCAGAAGGACCTGACTGCGAGGAACACACAGATGGTGGAGGAGAAACTGGAGAGTGAAAGGTGGGTTGGCGTGTGTGGGTTGTGGGAGGGAGAGTGGTGGTGGAGCTGGGTGCGAGGAACACACAGATGGTGGGGGTGGAGGGAGGGGAAGCTGGGGGTGGAGGGAGAGGAAGCTGGGGGTGAACATGATACGCAGCTGGGGGTGAACATGATACGCAGCTGGGGGTGAACATGATACGCAGCTGGGGGTGAACATGATACGCAGCTGGGGGTGAACATGATACGCAGCTGGACAGGACGGATAGGTAGCGGAGCATGCTCCTCCCTCTATCTCACGATATTCACCCGTACGCAAGCGGAGGTCCTTCCAATTCGCGCGCCGAAGCAAACTAGCGCAGGCAAGTCGAGGAGGAGCGGGCAAGACTCCTCTGTCTGGTCGCCGACCAACACTAGGCCAATGATGGAGACGAGACAGGAGTGGAGCCTGGGGGGTCAAGGAGATCAGAGATTTTAGGGTTTTCAGGGGATTTGGGTCACCAGGTAGGCTCACGGGTGAGGGGGGTCAGGGGTTTCGGGTTGCCAGGTGAACACACACAGGAGAGCCATATGCTCTCCAAACTCTTATGCTATCATCCTACCCGTGTACCCCACAGGAACAAGAGGAGGCGAGTGGAGGAGGAGAGGGACGCGCTGTCAGCACGGTTGGCGAGGCTGGGCCAGTCGATGGAGCGGGGTGGGGGGTCGGGGGGGCCATCGGTGGAGCAGCTTCAGGAGGAGCTGCGGCAATACAAGTCCATCATGAAATGCTCCGTGTGCCACGACAGGCAGAAAGAGGTGAGTGTTTCATAGAAAGAGGTCTGCTACTGGTAGGTTTGCGCTAGAGTCGACTCAAAAGTCACAGGCTGCAGAGGGGGGCCCATCGGTGGTGGAGCAGCTGCAAGAGGAGCTTCGGCAATACAAGTCCGTTATGAAGTGCTCCGTGTGCCATGACAGGCAGAAAGAGCTGAGTCTGCGTGTGAGTCTGCGTGTGAGTCTCGGTGTGCGTCTGCGTGAGTGTGTGTGTGAGTGTGCGTGTGAGTGCGTGTGGTGTGAGTGCGCGTGTGAGTGTGCGTGTGAGCGTGAGTGCATGTGAGTGTGCGTGTGTGTGCGTGAGTGTGCATGTGAGTGTGCTTGAGTGTGCGTGTGAGGCGCCCCAAATATGAGTGCACATGGCATGCCACGACCAACAGAAAAGAGAGGTTAGACCTACAAAATGTTACTCTTCAACATCTGGCTTTCTCTGGACCCAAGTTTAAAGGAAGTCATTCCTTTTTTCAAACACCAAGTCAAACTTGTTTCAACCGCATATTTGTCCACAAGCCAAACAAAATATGTGCAGAAAGTGATCTCCAAGATCTGGCCAAAATGGTAGGATTTGTGGAAGTGAGGTGTATGCTGCAACCGAAAGAGTTGCAGCTGTGCAAGCCCCAATCTAAGCAGCTCCTGTTCCTGCTTCCCTCCTCTCCCTCCCCCTTCCCCCTCCTCACAGGTGGTGATAATCAAGGTTTTCCACTTCTGTTTAGGAGAGGGTTCAGAAGATCCTCGAGTTTGGAGCTGCAGTTGTGGAAGCTCAATCTCAACAGCTCCAGTGTCTGCTCCTCTCCTCTCCGCCCCTTCCCCCCCTCAACTGACAGGTGGTGATCACCAAGTGCTTTCACCTCTTCTGCTCGCCCTGCATCCAGAAGAACCTCGAGGTGCAGCTGCAGCTGAGGAAGCTCAATTTCAACTGTTCCTGTTTCTACTCCTCCCTGTTTCTGCTCCTCTCCTCTCCCCACCCTCTCCCCCCTCAACTGACAGGTGGTGATAACCAAGTGCTTCCACCTCTTCTGCTCGCCCTGCATCCAGAAGAACCTAGAGCTGCGCCATCGCAAGTGCCCTGGCTGTGGTGTGCCCTTCGGCCAAAACGATGTCAGAAACGTGTACATCTAGCCCGCCATGAGATTCGGTGCGATGCGATGCGGTGCGGTGCAGTGCGATTTGATGCATGTCATACTCTGCCGGTCTAGATTTTACGAGGCTGCAGTGCAGTGCCTCCAAAACACGCCGTTAGTTAGCTCTTGCGTTGAGATGCACCTGATGTACACACGCGACTGCTATTCTGCCTTGCTGATAGGAAGTACTGCTGGACAGGGTCGGGTGGCAGCAGCTTCGATTCTTCTGTGGACTTCTGCAATGCTATGTTTGAGATGCTTGATTTGGCATACCAGTTTTTTGCGATCACTCTCCAGTGTTACAACAGGCAGTGCCAGTGTTTCCTTTGGTGGTGTGATGGATGGAGTTGTATCAGTAACTAGTGCTCTAGCCTGCAGGAACATGCCTGCAATCAGGCCCTCAGATTCACTTTTAGGGACCCTGATGCATGAGGGTTCCTGTGAAAAAAAAGGCTGATTGTCAGTGTTCCTGAAAAAAAAAAGCCTGAAATTTCAGGGTTCCTAAAAAAAAAGCCTGATTTCTTATTATTCACATCTCTAGTTACAAGTGAGTGCAGACCCAACTAGTCATAAAGCACAGGGACTAGAACCGAGGCCTTCCCTTTCAGAGGGGATTACGGTAACGACTGGGACACTTTATGCTGTCAAAGCAAATGTATTTTTGTTTTTTAAACTCGTGTAATGCGAAAATGTTGGAGTCCCGATGATTTCGGGTGTTTTACAGGAAGGACGCGGAATCTGCATTCAGTGTACACGTTCGATAAAATGCTGAAAAATCAGTCCCCTTCCATAAAAAAAGGCTGAAATTTCAGGGTTACAAAATAAAAAAGGCTGAAAGTTCAGGGTTGGTACAAAAAAAATGCTGAAAATCAGTCAAATCAGGGTAAAAAGCCTGATATATGAGGGCTTGCCAGCAATGCTCTTGTTTGGCATGTCAACGTCTTGTTGTAGCACAACAATTACATGGCTCACAAAGGGTGTTGTGGAAACTCCCCATGCATGCACCATCATGATTGGGTATATACAGTGAATGAGTACAATGAGAGCGTATTCCTACGGCCTCATATCAGGCCACCTCGTATCAAGTGTCAGAATGTTATTCTCTAGCCTGTAGTGGGGTGCTCTATAGCGAGTACAACCCATCTAGGGTTTGCTATATGTATCCTCATTGCTGCTAGTGAACTCTTCTTCTTTTGCCTAAACTTCTCTTGCCTAGCTAGGACTTACCTAGCTATGGCTCCTAACTCTACCTACTATTTTCACATGCTATCAGAGCAGGTCGATCCCCTTGGGTCGATCCTGTGGGTGGGCTCACCACCTCACTGCTTCCGCTGCTACTGCCACTCTCTGTGTCGCACGCCCCGTGGCGTGCGACGGATTTTTCATCCCGCCGCGCGCTCGGAGCGTGCGGCGGTTTTCTGCCCGCCGTGCGCCCCGAGGCGCGCGGCGGTTTTCTGCCCGCCGTGCGCCCCGGGGCGTGCGGCGGTTCTCTGCCCGCCGTGCGCCCCGAGGCGCGCGGCGGCCTTCTGCCCCGTCGGTCCGCGCGTCGCCCCCGGGGGGCGCTTCGACGGGCGACGGGGACCAGCCCGTCGTCCCCCGTCGCCCGTCCTGGCCAGCGCGGGCTGCGCCAGGCCCGCGCGCGGCCCGTACGGGCTGCGCCAGGCCCGCGCGCGGCTCGGGCCGCCTGCGCGCGGTTCGTCGGGCTGTGCCAGGCCCGTGGGCGGCCCGTTCCTCTCTGTCCCTGAGCTGCTCGCTGTCCCCCGTGCTTCTGACGGTGCCCCACCCCTACTGCTGCCCGTTCTCCTGAATTAGGGTTTGGGGGTGAGGAGTGTGGGGGTGGCGGTTGTGTGTTACTCCCCTTGCTCCTCCTTCTCCCTGGTCTCCCACTGCTGCAGCTGCCGCTGAGGGGGGTGGGTGTGTGGGAGCCTAGGGTTTAGGGTTTTAGGGAGGTGCGTGGGAGTGGAGCTAGGGTTTGAGCAGTGGGTGTGGGGCAGTTGGAGGAGGTTATGTGGAGGTACCTGTCGTGTCGCCTGCAGCGCCTGTAGTCCGTCGCCCTTGCTTCGGTAGCCAGTGAGCCTGCTGCACCAGTCGCCAGTGGGTCCGTTGCTCCTGCCGCTCTTCTATAGCCGCCGAGCCAGTTACTCCAGTAGTCCGTCGCCCTTGCTTCGGTAGCCTCTGAGTCAGCCGCTCCTGTGCCCGTGCCTCTGCAGCTTCAGTCGTTGCCTCCCATCTTCTCTACCTCCACAGCTCCTCCTCCTCCTCACTTGCCCGCTGTGATTAGCTATAGCTTTGCTTACCTTTGTGAACTCCTGCTCTATACCTGCTTGCTCATTGTACTGATTACACCCCACTTTGGCTATGGGGGTGTGTCAGAATGTTATTCTCTAGCCTGTAGTGGGGTGCTCTATAGCGAGTACAACCCATCTAGGGTTTGCTATATGTATCCTCATTGCTGCTAGTGAACTCTTCTTCTTTTGCCTAAACTTCTCTTGCCTAGCTAGGACTTACCTAGCTATGGCTCCTAACTCTACCTACTATTTTCACATCAAGATTGTACCTTTTGCTTGGTAAAACTAGCGAGAGGTTTCGGGTTTAGGGAATTTTCAGTGTTAGCCTGATATGAGGTTCTCTTGATACGAGGTGTAGGAATACGCTCTGATACTAATAATTTGAGTATGTCAAGGATGCATATACCGTATCGCCCCGGATATAACCGCAGGCCTATTAAAAGCGCATGCGCTTATATCTGGAGCAATGCGCTTATGGCCGATCCTCAATTAGAAGCGCACCCCTAATAAAATCGTTACTTATTATAAGCGCACCCTTGTAGTAAAAAAAATTACACTTTGAATATGTCATTATCGTTAGAGCTAAAGCAAGGCTAGCCTTCAATAGGAAATTTTGCACTACCTAAAAGTTTCACATACAATAGGGTGACTATTGTCCTAGCCTAAACACCATCTTGCCTAGTCTAGCCTTAGGCCTCCACTTCCTCCATGTCCGATTCAGGCTCCGTGAAGTTGTTGCCCCAGAACCCGTCTGCTTGGATGTCGTCGTCTACCTCTACCTCGTGGCTCAGCTGGCTTCTCCGGTGCGCCATCACCATATGGTCCTCGCTCCCGTCAAGGGCATTGCTGATGCCGCACGTGAGGAAGGATTTCTTAATCAGGTCGGCGGGCACGGCCTTCCACGCCCGTGAAATCCACTTGAGCACCACCTCTGGGGGTAGTTTCTTGATGTTCCCTGCACCACATGAAAGGGAGTGGGGGCATTAGAACACAAGCAGGCAGACAAGCACACGAAGGGGAGACGGGAGGACATGTCCTCGCTCACCTGCAGGTGTTAGGATGTTCATGCCGTCCGCCTCAAACCAGGACTGGTACTGCTGGCGAACACTTGCTTTGAAGATCTTGTTCACCGACACATCGAGCGGCTGCACGTCTGCCGTGCATCCCGCCGGGATGACTGCCGGCCCGATGTTGAGCGCCGCGAATCTCGCCTTGACTTCTTCCTTGGTAAGGTGACCACGGTAGGAGTCGAGTACTAGCATGGCGCTCCGACTCTGCACGCCGAATTTCGATTTCAGGAACAGCACCACGCCCTCATCGAGCCACTGGATGACGCCCGTGGCCTCCATCCACCCGTTTGCTTGGCAGCCGACCATGACATCTGCACACAAGCAAGCGGTGGTTAGTCCCTTTTTTTTTTTAACGTCCAAAACACGCACAAGAACATGTGCTTACCGTTCAGGAAGTCACCCTTAGGGAGTGTCTTGCGCTTGAAAAACACCCACGGCTTCAACTTCTCGCCCGTCGCCGTGCACGCCAACATCACGGTGACTCTTTCTTTCTGGTAACCAGTGCTGCGGATAGGCACCGA